ACAGAACACTTCAGACTTCAGACTATTGAGATGAAGATGGTCTGAGTACCTACAGTGTCCCTTTAACAGATAATCATATAAGTTTTAATAATATGCTCACCTAATTTATTGTTAAAAAAAATTCAGTGGTGTTACACTGCCAAGCTGGATTTTGAGGCCAATACATTTGTGATGGTATTATCTTAACAAACATTTATTTCCTGTATTACTATTTGAAGAAGAGAGACAAAAGAACATTGTACTTTGTTGTTTTGTTTAAACCTCCCCAAGAATATAATACCTGCTCTGTTCTACATGTGTAATAAACTATTGTGAATGTCACTATCCCCTAAATTGGCACCAAGTACATACAAAACCAACCTACTACAGCAAATTCTGGGAAAGTTTTTGTATTTATCCTCAAACTCTGCACTGTGTTCCACATGTCATATAGTACTGTTTGTCACACAGAAAATAAAGGAACATTGTAACAACTGATAATTTAGAAATGAATCACTCATGAGTCACATTTTAAAGAATATTTTGCATCACTTCACCAAAGTATTACTTTCAATTTGGGTCAGTCAGCTGTTTTAAGCACCAGTCAAGTTATTTACTAAATGTGTGCTAAAGTATTTATAACCTCATTCTAAATGTATTTTGATTTAAATATATATGTTTATTAATATCAAAATACAGTTAGAACAAATGTAAACCAGTATGTAATTTATATATATATATATATATATTTATATATATATATATATGTAACGGAATCGCTGGCACCCGGACTGGGTACCTTCCGCTGACGGATGCTCCTAGTGCTTTCCGAGGACTCCAAGCACTCTGCCCGACACCATAACCACTGCAGACCCCACGAACCACAGCAGCTTGGTTGGGGTCCCGCCGTCTCTACCCACTCTGGACCCAAGACCAGGGTCCAGCTTCCAGTAGGTCGACCTCTCCGAATTCCAGAGAGCAGGAACAGGAACAAGCTCTTAGCAGAGCTTAGTGATTATAACCTGGGGAGTATAGTGATTTTAGCAATCCCCAGAGTGTAGTTCTCCAATCCCCCAAACATGAGCCAAAACTTCATGAAGGTACAAGATGATGTGACTCCAATGAGCGTTTATTACTCCTTATATACAAGTTTTCAGGCCAGAGGCACACCCTCTGGACCTGGTGATAAACTGTGACAAAAGGGACACAAACCAATGCGAACACTAATTAACATAATAACACTCCCACATACACAATGAAATCCCTCCTCTCCATCCTGGAGATAATTGGCTTAAGGCACTGCAGTAAACTCAATTATCTCCAGGTACAGAAAATATCTACATTTTACACTAACAGCAAAAATACGTTAAAGTACATAAAAATACATAATTCTTATTATATTACACAGAACCCCCACATTTAATCTATCCCCAGATAGCTCGGATCTGAGCGCCCAATCTAGTTGAACAACACTCAGATCCCATGAACAGAGTAAATTTGCCATGGGGTAAAGCATAGCATGGGCTGTTGAGAAACCAAGGAGGGACAAAAGCAGTCAGTTCCAACTGGTTTGGCAGTGTGCCTGGGACAACGCCCTGCTGGAGAACAATAGACAGGAAACGGGGGAGGGGAAGAAACACACCTTCCCATGGATTCAAATGGGCAGAAACAGTCTTTAGAAGCCAATAAGCCCCAAATAGTCTTTTTAAATGGCAATACACCCCAGGGCCATAGTCATGAGGAAGGAGGCTGGCAATCAGGCTTCTCCAACAGCTGGGGGCAAAGGGCAGCTTGTCACCTAATAATCCAGTGACAAAAGGCATTTCGTCACAATATATATATAAAATTAATGTTATCCTAAGTGTTATTTTAATATTAATATATAAATAGATTAATATTAAAATACACTTTTAATAATGATTTATGTATGTGTATATAAAAGTACTTAGATTATATATATATATATATATATATATATATAGTTAATACAATGTTAAATATATATATATATAAATGATCTAAGTACTTTTATTAACTTTATTAAACTATACAATAACTTTTATTTACTTTTTACACTTGTGTACAGGCATTAGGGGGACTGCCTGAGAGCTCAGGCAGGCCCCATGCAGGCACTGCACAAGCCGGCCCTGTAATCGCGAGGACCCCGCGATCACATGGCATCGGAGGGCCAGATCGGGCAGAGGGGATAATTCCACCAGCACTGTGTCAATAGAGCAGTATTTCCTGCTCTACACTTGTGAGTATATTTTATTCTATTGTATTTATTTTATTTATTTTTTCCAACTGAGAGCACTATTGCTGTTTTTTATATATATATTGTGGAACACGACGTAACCAAGGCCGGACCGACGAACACACTTCTCCAGTATATCTCTTAGCGGGGATTATACCGCTAAACGCCCTCCATCCAAGAGCTGGCCTAAGCTCCTCCAAATGTGAGTGTATCATCCTTCTTTTTACTTATCTTACCCTTGGATTTACAATATTTCACCATTGGCAGTTTGTCGTGTTTTTATTTTTTGTTTTCACATATACGGACTATTTACAACCCGGACGGATCAACTCCTGAGGATTGTATGTATACTCTATCCAGAAATTTCAGTGAGACGTTTTATTGATTTTTATTCTATTGAACATTTTACTACTTGGATGGACTTTGTTTTAATATACTTTTTTAGCTGTTTTAATAGAGACTTTTTTTTTTATCTATTATACTAGCTTATTTGTCGTTGTCTATTTATTTAGACCATTTGGTCTCTATTTTTACTGTATAAGTTACTGTATCCTAGCGCAGCCCTTTCCTACTTTTTTCATTTCTAGTCTTATAAGGGTCTTGAGGGATTCCCTTTTTAGGGTTGCTGCCTATAATCTTGTTACTTAGCGCAGACTCTTCCCCCTTGTTTATACATAGAGCTGAGTACTATAGAGAGATAACCATACCACAAACAGAACTGAGCTGGGCACAATGCAAAGATAACTTTATAACACACAGAGCTGGCATAGCTACAGGGATACCCATACCCATAATAAGGAGATACTCATACCTATCCCACACAGCCATGATCACTCTGATAGGTTACACAGAGCTGCAATACAGAGATATCCACACAGTGCATGTCCCTGCTCCAGCTCCCTCCCCCCCCCCCTCTCTCTCTCTCTTCCTAGACCTCTCTTAGGGCTTCCTTTAATTATCTTCTTTTCAGTAGTGCTCCTCATATGATAACTTTAGCTTATATTAAATATTGCTGCTGTTATGATTTACTTGATTAGCTCTTAGTACACAGTGTGCATATGGTTAAAGCATCTGGATACCCAGGGCAGTCTATAATATGAATAGGACCTTTGGCAATGCATTTTCTTGGGTCCTTTGGACCCTGGCCTTTCCCCCACCCCCACTCTTAGGCATGTAAGCATGCATTTCACCCCCAACACAGTGGGGAAATAAAGTAGAGAAGTGCAAGACATACTTATACAGACATATACACTGACAGACACCCTGAGACATACAGACACAGACAAACATACTGAAACACATATATTCACTGACAGATATACTGACACATACAGACATAATAACACACACACTGACAGACATATAGACACACATACAGACACATATACTGAGACATAGTAACACACACTGACAGATATGCTGACACACACACACTGACAGACATACTGACACATTCACAGACACATCCACTGACAGACATACTAACAAACACAGACACATAACTGACAGACATACTGACAAAAACATACAAATAACTGACACACATACTGACACACACACAGACATGCAGTGACAGATATACTGACAGACACACATACACTGACAGACATACTGAAACACAAAGACACACACATTGACAGACATATCGGCACACACATCCACTGACATACATACTGACACACACACACACCCACATTGACAGACATACTGACTCACACACACAAACACTGACAAACATACTGACACACACACACACTGACAGACATACTGACACCCATTGACACACAAGCACAATTTACAATTTTAAACCCACCTCTAACCTTGAAGAGTGCCTTCCCTGGTGTCCAGAGTGGTAGCTAAGGCTGTTGGGAATTAGGGACTGGCTCTCCGGCCCAACACCCCTCCTCACTGCCTCCATGGTCTCTCCCATGCGGCTCTGTGTTTTCACTGGGAGGAAGTGAAGTGTGTCTGTCACTTCCTCCTATGCTGCCAAAAAGCAAGGGGCCCGGAAGTGCTGTTAAGTGGCAACAGAGTGTGACCAGGCTCCTGCTTATAAATGCCCACCGGGTGGCACATAGTGCATGAGCCACCCGGTTGCCTCCTTAGTGTGCAGGCCCATGGGGGAAAAAAATAAATAGTTGACGGCATATATGAACTATGGTAACCCTAAAATGGTATAAATAGGTGTACTTTTAAATGTTAAGACACAGAGGAGAGACTTGGAGACAGACGCTGCTCCATCTTAAAATGACAGAGAGGCTGACATGATGACATGTTCAGAAGGGTATGTTAACCTATTAATGATATTTGCAAGCATTTAGTTTAATCTTATAAACTCTGCTATAATGGATTTTATATTTATATTTTTATATAATAAATATCCAAAAAGACAAAACTACTGCTTCCAAGACAATCCTTATTTTATATTGTATTCTCAATTATTTATATATGTTAAATAGAGGATCTCTTACTAACTATATAAAATTATGGCTAAGATATCTGTATGGTTAGCCCTACTAAGTTCTATGCTTTAAGACATTATAGTGGTAAATAAGGGAACCACCTGCGGTTACAGCAGGACCCACGGAACAGCTGTTTTGGGTACCCCAAAGTAACTCGCCCAGGAGCAGCTGCCCCATTTTCCCTGCGTAAAGACAGCCTTGCAGACACATGGGGAAAAAGCAAACTCTGGAGAAGCGACAATGCCTCCTCTTCCAAAGATATTAGCACTTTGTTCAGAGTGACCCTGCAGCCATGGCCTACTAAAATGGTGACCGCACAGGAGGACTCCGACATCACATCAGAAGAGAACAAAGAGGAAGACTTCCTAATCCACAACACACAAAGGGCACCGAGGGCGACCTCTGCTCTACAGCTGGAGCACCTACCTATGAGTAAGCAGACTAATCAAAGCTTGCAGCAAATGCCTGCAAGGACAACCGATATTCGAAACTTACTAAAAGAGATGAAGGCCCTTTTTGCTGTAGACATTGCATTGGTCAGGGAGGACTTAGGGGCGAAGGCGGCCTGACTACAGGCACTGGTGGACAATGAAGTTGCAAGGGGCAAACAGGAAGGAATGCACACCAAGGTTGACAGGCTCTCACCATGTAAGGCTAAAGCTACCACACTGGAGAATTATTTTCAGATTCCCAAATCATCCAGAACTCCTGCCCGGGCACCTAGAGACTTACTGCTCCATTCGCTAAAAAGTAAGAAACTTGTACAGGCAGCTATCTGGGACTCAACTTACAATTTTGAGGGTGCCGACCTCTCCTTCTTCAGCAACCTTACTAGGTCCACAATGGTTTGGTGACAATCTTTACGTCCTGTCATGCAACAGTTGAGAGGACATAAAGTCGCATAACGCTGGGGCCCTTGTCGCAAACTATCAGTGCTTCGGGATGGGAAGCGAGTCTAATTACTTCTCCAGTCGGATATGGAGAAGTTCCTCAAGGTGCTTGTACGGCCTCTGCCAGAGATCTTACTGAGGCCTACCACAAAACCTAAACCCTCAGCCCAGGTGTGGAAAGTGGGCAACATACAGCCTTTTAACCAGAAATCCAGACAGCAAGACTGACTTCAACTGGCACCTGAGTCATATTTACCTTACAAAACCAGTTGCCAACATTTTACATAATTTTCTACAGGAGATTGCCTTCCTTTGGCCATATGTGGCCCTCATTTGGTTGATTGTGTTTTAGTTTGTTGCCTGTGCTTATGATTTATGAGTTATATGCCTTTTTCCTTTCTTGCCATATCTTACCAAAGTATAGGATTAGAAGATTCACAAAACACCAATTTAACTAGAATTCATAACCAAATGCATCCAGGTGGATGCACATTTGCAAATTATCATTTAATTGCTTATATGCAAATAACTGATAATTTTAAGTACTAAAAAATATATAAAAAATATCCTATGGGATGAATAAAACCTCCATGTTACTTCGTACAGCAGGTGGACATATATCTTCATCCAGTCCCTAGAAAGACACCATACTTTTGTGAAGGGACATGTTGAAAAATTTGAGGGCATAGTCCTCCTCCACGGTGTTAGGGACATTAAAATAATTAATGGGGAGTGGACATATCATATTCCACCTCTCTGCCATAAATATAATCAGGGCTGGCCTTAGGCCATTAGGCGTCCTGAGCAAAAGGTCTTCACGGCGCCCTCTCCCCCACCAAGTTGCCTGTATACAATCATACACACAGGCAGACAGTCACACAAATAGTTACAAGCAGACAATCAGACACGCTCAGTTACAGGCAGACAGTCAGACACACACACGGTTACAGGCATACATAGAAACATAGAAACATAGAAACATAGAATGTGACGGCAGATAAGAACCATTCGGCCCATCTAGTCTGCCCAATTTTCTAAATACTTTCATTAGTCCCTAGCCTTATCTTATAGTTAGGATAGCCTTATGCCTATCCCACGCATGCTTAAACTCCTTTACTGTGTTAACCTCTACCACTTCAGCTGGAAGGCTATTCCATGCATCCACTACCCTCTCAGTAAAGTAATACTTCCTGATATTATTTTTAAACCTTTGTCCCTCTAATTTAAGACTATGTCCTCTTGTTGTGATAGTTTTTCTTCTTTTAAATATAGTCTCCTCCTTTACTGTGTTGATTCCCTTTATATATTTAAATGTTTCTATCATATCCCCCCTGTCTCGTCTTTCCTCCAAGCTATACATGTTAAGATCCTTTAACCTTTCCTGGTAAGTTTTATCCCGCAATCCATGAACCAGTTTAGTAGCCCTTCTCTGAACCCTCTCTAAGGTATCAATATCCTTCTGAAGATACGGTCTCCAGTACTGTGTACAATACTCCAAGTGAGGTCTCACCAGTGTTCTGTATAATGGCATGAGCACTTTTCTACTGCTAATACCTCTCAAAAGCTGTCAGAAGTGGGATTTGAACCCACGCCTCCATGTGAGACCAGAACACCCATATTGTGGAAGAAGTTGATCTTGAGTCTGGCGCCTTAGACCGCTCGGCCATCCAGACAGTCACACATGCTCAGTTACAAGCAGACACAGAGTCAAACACAGAGGCAAACACACAGAGGCAAACACACAGTTATAGGCAAACAGTCACAGAGGCAAACACACAGTTATAGGCAGACAGTCACACACAGTTACAGGCACACAATCACGAACAGTTACAGGCACATAGACACAAACACAGTCACAAGCAGACAGTCACACATACTCCATTACAAGCAGACAGTCATACACACTCAGTTACAGGCATGCAGACACTCATGCACGCTGATAGGCACACACACACTCAGTTAAAGTCAGATAGTACACATACAGGCACACACAAAGGCACAGCTACAGCGACACACACAATTGCAGTCACACACACAGTTACAGTCACACACAGGCTGACAATCACACACACACACACACACAGGCAGACTGTCACACACATAGGCAGGCAGTCAAACACAGGCAGGCAGACAGTCACACACAGGCAAGCAGTCACACACAGACAGACAGTCACACACACAGACACACAGGCAGACAGTCACACAGTGCCCTCTCCCCCACCAAGTTGCCTGTATACAATCATAGACACAGGCAGACAGTCACACAAACAGTTACAAGCAGACAGTCAGACACGCTCAGTTACAGGCAGACAGTCAGACATACACACACACACACAGTTACAGGCAGACAGTCACACATGGTCAGTTACAGGCAGACAGTCACAGAGGCAAACACACAGTTATAGGCAGACAGTCACACACAGTTACAGGCACACAATCACGAACAGTTACAGGCACACAGACACACACACAGTCACACATACTCCATTACACGCAGACAGTCATACACACCCAGTTACAGGCATGCAGACACTCATGTACGCTGATAAGCACACACACACTCAGTTAAAGTCAGATAGTTACACATACAGGCACAGGCACACACAAAGGCACAGCTACAGTGACACACACAATTGCAGTCACACACACAGTTACAGTCACACACAGGCAGACAATCACACACACAGGCAAACTGTCACACGCACACAGGCAGACTGTCACACACACAGGCAGAAAGTGACTCACACATTGGCAGACAGTCACACACACATAGGCAGGCAGTCACACACAGGCAGGCAGACAGTCACACACACACAGGCAGGCAGTCACACACACACACACATACACACACACACAAGCAGACAGTCACATGCACAGGCAGGCAGTCACACAGACAGACAGTCACACATACATTCACACACACACAGGCAGGTAGACAGTCACACAGACAGCCAGTCACACACACATACAGGCAGTCACACACACAGGCAGGCAGTCACACAGACAGCTAGTCACACACACAGGCAGGCAGTCAAACAGACAGACAGTCACACATACACACAGGCAGGCAGACAGTCACACAGACAGACAGTCACACACACAGGCATGTGTCTATGGCAACCTGTGCATCCACACAGCACGCACACCCCTAAGGCCGGCCCTGAATATAATATTAAACAGGAGAAGACCTACTGTACTCCCTCTAGCCCCCACCTAGGGGAGGGACCTTGCTAAATATTCTCCACCCATTTATAGGACTTTGTATAGGACTTGGATGCAAAAGATTTTAATCCAGACACCAAATGCATCCAAGTGATCGCTGAAGAATTCTATCATTATAATAATTGCCATTACTGTAGAATTATGTCATTTTCACTGGATTTGACCACCTAAACAAAATCCAGTGTTTAGTAAATAAGCCCGCTTGAAATTTCAACAACTCTCACTTTATTAAGTATCAAGTTCAGTAGAGGATGGGAGATCCTGCATGGGTTTTTTTCCTTGCCCTCCACCATTATCCAAGCTATAAGAGTTTGGCATGTGGATTATTTAATAGAGTGACTATTTACAGATTTTAAGGAATTTTGAATAAATCCAAAACTACATTTTCCAAGCAACTTTCCTTCAAAATTCAACAAAGATATTTCTAAAATAATTATGATACAATATTTAACACTTAAGCCTTAGACCTTTAGAGAGTTAAATTAACTTGTACAAGAGAGGAAGAAAATGTAACAAAAAATAATATTATTGAGGCTCATAAGAACAAATAGTTTGATTGATACACTATGTGGTTCTGTTGAACACCTGCCTCACATTTCCCACAGAGTACGCCAAAATGGCACTTACACAACATAACATTGTATCATTAAATTTGTTATGCTCTTATTTTCTGGTTTCGTTTGAACACATCCTACAAAGGAAAACTAATTTAAAATTAAATAAATAATGATCTACAACAATTAGTGATCCAAAAACTACAGTGAACTAGAGATATCAGTACGTATAAGACACGCCTCAGTTCATTTCAACCTTTTGCTTTTCTTTCCAAATTGCTCACAGCAATAAGGGTTTTTTGTGTATAGATTTTTTTTTTAATTTTTCTTAAACTTTTCAGCTGAACCAGTACCAGAGGGGAAACAATATTTCTTAATGGTGTTATTAAAGTTTTTTTGGCGTCTGCTAAAGCTTTGTGCAATATTTGCAAACGAGGCTCTTCGTGTGAGGCCAAAAAGATCAGATCTAAATGATAGCAAAGGATGAAAGGATCCCTTTCCTAGAAAATGAATGATACTTTAATTAAACAGAACAAGTACACTTGCATTATTTTCCAATACACCACAGGGGATAGATGTGTCACTTTATTTTCTCACTAGACTTAATGAATGATGTTCTTTATGTTCATTTAGCGTTCTCACACTTTATTTTGAATAAACATGGCACCGATATCTGTAAAACTATAATGGAAATGAATCTACATTAATTGGCTAATTTATGCAACGCTGAATGATTGCAAGCCCACAAGGCAAGCACAAATAGTTATTTAGAATATATGTTTATGATTAGCTTAGTGCAATTAGGCTGCATGTTTGAACAGCAAAGGACAAGAATACATTATCTTTGATTTATTGTGTACAAAAGTAAAACATGTACTCCAACATTAAAGACTGTGTTAACAT